AAATGAAGTGGAGCAAGGAATGCCTCTTCAACAGATAGTGTTGGGAAAATTGGTCAGCCACATTCAAAAAACAAAAACAAAAACCCAAACAAACAAAAACCCCCACTCAGACCTTTTTCTAACACGTTCACAAAAGTCAAATAAAAATGAATTAGAGACCTTGATTTAAGACTTGGATCAGTAGGTACATAGGCAGAATTCTCCATGTCACTGGACCGAGAGGTATCTTTAAGGCACTGACCAAGCAAGTGGAAGGAAAGACAAACAAATGGGACTACATTAAAGTAAGACGCTTCTGCATCTCAAGGGAAATAAAGGGGAAAAATAATACAAAGAAGCCCACAGACTGAGAGAAATGATTTGTCTACCACTCATCTGATAAAGAGTTAATATCCAAGATATACTGGTAGAACTTTACGGTCACGGTCCTCCCGTTGTTCATCGATTTGCTCGAGCGGGCCCCAGTAACATGTCCATCATGAGACGTGTTGTTACTGTGTTTGGCATATTGACTTTGTTGTTACTGTGTTTGGCATATTGAATATGTCACGGGGAGCTTGCCAGGCTCTGCCGTGCGGGCGAGATACTCTCGGTAGCTTGCCAGGCTCTCCGACAGGGGCGGAGGAATCGAACTAAAGTCGGCCATGTTGGCTGCTTGTAAGGCAAACGCCTTACCGCTGTGCTATCGCTTTACAGGGGAAAAAATCCAACCCTATCAAAAAATGAGAAGAGAGAAAAACAGAAACTTCCTCAAGGAAGAAATACAAATGGCCAAAAGGCATATGAAAAGATGCTCTATATCACAAGCACCAGGAAATACAAATCAAAATAACAATGAGATATTACCACAGAGATTGACACTCCTAGAAAAGAACAACAACAACCAGTTGGAAAACAATATGCTCCAAGCACCACCAGGAGTAATTTCTGAGTGCAGAGCCAGGAGCAACCCCTGAGCATCACTGGGTGTGAGCCAAAAAGTTAAAAAACAAACAAGCAAAAAAAAAAAATCCCAATATGGACATTCCTCAAAAGCTAGAAATTGAGATTCCTTTTGGCCCAACAATTTCACTCATTAAAATATACCATATAATCCCCAAAAACAATGAAGAAAATCAATCTGCACTCCTATGTTTGTTGCAGCATTATTTACAATGGCCAAACTCTGGAAACAGCCCAAGCGCCCAAGAACAGATGACTAGATAAAGAAGCATGGGACATGTACACAATGGAATACTATGCAACTGTTAGAAAAGATGAAGTCATGATGTTTGCTGATGCATGAATGGATCTGGAGAATATCATGTTGAGTAAAATGAGTCAGATGCAGAGAGACAAACACAGAATGATCTCATTCATCTGCAGGTATAAAGACACATTGTAGGAAAATAATGTTTAAGGACAATAGAAACGAAGAATAGGAGAACTATTCCCTTTTTAGGAAGCATGCCACAGTGGAAAGAAGGGGGCTTATTACAGGGAGTGCCAGTGACAGAGGTAAATGGTAACTCTGGAAGAGAACTGGGTGCTGAAAGGAGGTTAAACTGATAGGCACAAAATCCTTTCAGGAACAATACAGGCAAACCACAGTGCCTAAAATGAAAAACGAAAAAGGAAGAAGTGCCTGCCACAGAGGCACTTCTCTCTCTCTCTCTCTCTCTCTCTCTCTCTCTCTCTCTCTCTCTCTCTCTCTCTCTCTCTCTCTCTCTCTCTCTCCTTCCCTCCCTCCCTGTCTCCCTCACTCTCTCCCTCTCCCCGTCTCTTTCTCCCTCTCCCTCTCTCTCCCTCTCCCTCCCTCTCTCTCTCCCTCTCTCTCTCTTTCTCTTGGCTTGGGGGGAACACAAAGTAAAATTCTGGGGCTACTCCTGGTTCTGTACTCAGGGGTCACTTCCAAACTGCTTGGCAGATCATGCCAGGTCAGGGATCAAACTAGGGTTGGTTGTATGCCAGGAAGTATCAGGACTTTTCCTCAAGTCACATAAGATCATCTTTTTTGCTTCTCAAAATAGTTTTTCCACACTGTTTCTCCTAGCCAACATGATCAGAATATACAGAGAGGAGATTGGAAACTATGGGAATTTTGCTACCGTTTCAAATTATGTTATTATTCCCAATTTTTAACACCTTCCTTCCCCACCCCTGAATCTGTTTTCTTGGGAACATGACATCTGTGGAAGGTAAATTTACCTTGTCTAAGGGAAGGTACATGGAAAAGATAGTTTAGACCTGCATCTGCTCTTCCTGCATTTCTTTCATCCTGGTTAAGAGGAAATATCCTGGACAACCCATTGCCTAAGGAAGATAAGTAAGAGGGGAGCTGAGCTGAACCAGTTTTCAACTAGGCAAATATTTAAAATATTAACATTCCTTGTTTAGATCAATAAACTTGAGGGGTTTATTATGCAGTATAACAGTGACTATAGCTATGTGACAATATATTATCATATATAAACTTGGGGAGGGGGGTTGGAGTCTTCCAGCCAGTGCTCAGGAGACCCAGGGGCCACTTCAGTTTCACTGATGAGACCCAAGTGTATGGTTCAATGCTGAGGTCCAAGTATATGGTGCTGGTCTGGCTCTGTGGTGTTCAAGGGCTAGTGGAGTCACCCTGATGGCACTTGGGGGACCTCCAGGGCTACAGTCAGCCTGATCAGGAGGGTATGTGGCATGCTGACTGAACCCAGATTAGACGTACCATGTACCCTAACTGGTACTAAATCCCCAGTCCCTGTGTAATCTTTAATAATATTAACATGAATAACAAAAGTCGTCTCTATGTGGGGAAAAGTAAGAATTAGGGACGTTAGCTTGCCTCATTCCTACTTGTAAAGTAAGTAAAGTAAAGGCCCTCCCGTGTTCGTCGATTTGCTCGAGCAGGCCCAGTAACGTCTCCATTGGAGACTTTGTTGTTACTGTGTTTGGCATATCGAATACATCACGGGGAGCTTATCAGGCTCTGCCGTGCGGGTGAGGTACTCTCAGTAGCTTGCCGGGCTCTCCGAGAGGGGCGGAGGAATCGAACTCGGGTCAGCCATGTTGGCTGCGTGCAAGGCAAACGCCCTACCGCTGTGCTATCGCTCCAGTCCATTTCTACTTGATATATATATATATATATATTTAAGTATCATGGTAAGATTGTGTATGTGTTTGTGCATGTGTTGGTTTGGCAGGTTACACAAGACTATGCTTAGGGGCTTATTTCTCATGATGCTGGAGGGGACACATGGGGTGCTGGGAATACAACCAGGTTTGGCAACATGCAAGGCAAGTGCCCTATTGGACTGTACTAGCTCACTGGCCCAATTGTGGTAAGATTTGGCTTATTGATCCTTAAACTTTTTGGTAAGGACGTTTTCATAAGTAGGGTGAATAACTCGGTTGATCCATCACCTAGCATCAATAACTACTAACACACAGTCAATCTTGGAATAAGTAAAAAATTTAATTTAGACTAAAGACAAATTAAGAAATATTTTCTCTTTTTTTATCATTATCAAACTTAAAAGGAGTCAGATTTGGGGAAAATTTAGAAATAAGGGTGTAATTTCATATTAGTGTACAAAGGATAGTTTAAAAATTAAATATTGTTGGGGAAACTGACTATACAATTAGAGGTGAAGCTAAATAATTTATGCCATATCAAAATTTTCAGATAAGTTAATCACTTAATATAAAATTATACCTATAAGAGAATTGGGCTGAAGCAATAGCACAGTGGGTAGGACATTTGCCTTGCACGCGGCTGACCTGGGTTCGATTCCTCCACCCTTCCTGGAGAGGAGAGCCCAGCAAGCTTATCGAGAGTATTCCGCCTACATGGCAAAGCTTGGCAAGCTCACAGTGGCATGTTCGATATGCCAAAAACAGTTAACAACAAGTCTCACAATGGAGACGTTACTGGTGTCCTCTTGAGCAAATCGATGAACAACAGGAGGACAGCGCTACAGTGCTAAGAGAATTAGAAAAATGTTATAAAAATAGATTCATAATCTCCGTGTTGCTATTCCTAACCCACATAAATAACAATAGATTTAATGACGTGAAATGTTTGAAGTTCTACAGTTTCAAAAGTTAAAAGATGTATGATACACTCAGAAATACATGCCACACATAAATTGGAGGTATGAGGTAGGTAAAGTTCTCAGGAACAAAGTATTTCAGTACCACCCACAGAAGAAAAACGTGGCTGCCTATGTCTTTTCCACTTAGAATTAAATCAAGGGACAAAATAAAGGAATTATCTCTCTGGTGTCCTAAAATTTTCCAACTAAATTTTGCAATAATCAAATTAGTTAGGTTTTTGTTTTGGGGGACCACATTCGGTGGTGCTCAAGAGTTTACTCCTAGCTTTGCACTCAGGGATCTCCCCTGGCGAACCTCCTGGGACCATATGGAGCTCCAGGGACTAACCCGGTTCAAGGCAAGTGCCCTCCCCGCTCTACTATCTCCCCGGACCCGCGTGTTATGTTTTTAATTAAAAACGTTTAAAATACTTTAGCAGCTATCCAGTCTGGCCTTTCTATCATGAAGAACCACTCTGGTAAATCATCCCGTTTGCAAAGTTACGACTCCACCAGCATTAGTTTATTGGCGGTAGGCACTGGGGTTTTCGCTTCCTTTGTGTTACCATGGCACTTAGGACCCGAGTCCTTACAGATGTTTGAAAAGAAAAAAAAAACACTCAGGATTGGAAAAAATATTGTTGCTTGTGTAGGTGTGGGAGACATGGCGCAAACACAGCGGCTCCCAAACTTCCTCATTACACACTTCTCCCTAGCCCCTAGCCCAGTTCCAGCCGTCTAGCTCACTCCACCTGGCCACGTACAAACGCGATGCAAGAATTCATTCCAGGTGTGCGCGTCAGCGTGCCTCCCGCGGCTCCACGGCCCGGCCCGGCCCGGGAACGCCCTCGCCCCGCCCCCTCGCTGGTTGTGTTGTCATCACGTGGCCGGGGCGGGCCCTGACGTCAGGGTCAGGGGCGGGATTGCGCAGGCGCAGAAAAGGGGGCGGGGGACTCGGCTTGTTGTGTTGCTGCCCCAGAACCCCGAGCCCGTCTGTGCTGCGGCCGCAGTTTCTTGCCGCCCGACGATGTCGTCTCATTTAGTAGAGCAGCCGCCACCCCTACACAACAACAACAACAATTGCGAGGAAGGTGAACAGCCTTTGCCCCCGCCAGCCGGCCTCAACAGTGAGTGCTGGGCCGGCGGGCTCGGTGAAGGGGATGGGGGAGGAGGAGCTGCTCGGGCCGCCGCCGCCAGCCAGCTCCGCGCGGGAGGCGGGAGGAGAAGGCAGCTCATTGGCCAATGCCTGCGATGTGCGCGTGATTGGCAGCTCTCGTCACCTGTCAGGAGGAGATGCTCCTGCCTGCCTCTCGGCCGCTTTCCTCTCCTCCCCGGGCTCTCCGGTGGCTGGGGGCTCCTGGCCGCGTCTCGTGGGGGCAGGGCAGCTGGGTGGGAAGGGAAGGGGGCAGAGGTGCTCCCACCTGTGGTGGGCCCGGGTGCGGGGCCGGTTGGGCGTGGAGGGGCGGGCCTTGGGGCGCGGGGAGTGTGGGTGGGCGGAGCGGGGCGGCGGAGGGGACGTGGGCCGGGATGGGGACGTGCGGCGGGGACGCCTGGGGATGGACGCGGGCGGCGGTCCGAGGGGAGGGGGCGGCCGGGAGGTCCGGGTTGCTGCGGGGATTGATGGCCTGGCTCTGCTGACCCCACTTCTCCGGGTCAGCCTTCCCTTGCCCGGGCTTAGCAGCCTTGAGCCCGCTTCTTGTTGTTCCTTTGTTACCACTGGCGAGTCTGGAAAAATGAACTTGGTCATTTAGTGGTTACTTACTTGTATCTTGTATCTTTTTTTTTTTTTCCCCTCGAGTTATTATTGAGATTTTTTTTTTCTCGTCCGCGACAGGGTTTGTGTGCTCGGTAAACCTGTTTATGAGCAGCCTCTTGAATCATAGGGGATTGCACAAATCTCGGTGTCTGGGGCAATGCTTTCTCAGAAACGGGCTTGGAAACAAACCATTGAAAGTTCCTGGGCAGTGGGGAGTTAAGACCGTTTGCAGTTGCTTTTCCTAACGTGCTGGTGCTCCAGCGTCCCGGCCAGGATTATTCCCAGTGGTCTGTGGAGTTTAGAGCCGTCTTGAAAAGGTTCTTGCCTAATCTTGTCAGTTCAGTTAGCTTCATGTGAAAGAGGTAGTTGGGGCAGTTAGCATATGGCCTGATGAAATAGTTTTAAAATCTTTTTTTTTTTTTTTTGCGTGCTTAAAGGTCACTTCAAAGCGTTGCAAGATCTTTCATAAGCGGGGTGGTGTTCCAGATTTATTTTTTGAGAGGACGGTTCTTGTTGTCCAAAATGGAGGCAGAAGTTCAGTATTTTGAGACATCTTCAGAGCTTACTCTTGGGACTTTATCTCTGGCTGGATGAAATTCTTAGGGGTCGTCTTTTTAACAACTCTTAAGTCTCATGTTCTAGAACATAAGATGTGTTGTTTCCCTTAGTAAGCTGGGATTAGCTTTTATCTTTCCAGTTTTTCACCAGTAAACATTAAAAAATTTTGACCTTCTTACTCTCTGCTCTTAGAATGGACAGACTTTAGATAAGTGACTCCTGTTACTAGTAGTGAAGAAACAGTCACAAGTAAAGTGTATGTTTTAAATTCACCCAATTCAGTGCTCCTTACAGGAGACTTCAGTGACCTAGAATTCCCTAATTTTGTGTTTATTTTCTTGGTATGTTACTCTACCTTCAATACAGAATCTAGCCTCCCTTGTCTGTCTCTCTTCAGTATATTGTTTCTTAATTTTACTCTGTTTTCACGTGATAGAAGTTAGCTATGTTGTTCGTATGTGCACAGGAATTCACAGAAATCAAATTACACCCCGACTACCCGGCCCCATTTGTCCATATAGCCAAAAAAAAAAAAAAAAAGGGAGGGGGAGTTGAGCTCTCTGTCAGTGTTGGTCTTTGCATCACACAAGCTCAGAGTTATTTATGTCCTCAGCCAATCAGCTGCTGCTACGTTTCTGTTTGCTCTTACTGAAGTGAAGAACAGCCTGTGTGTGGTAGCACAGGGAAATCTGCTGGATAGAAGTATTTTATTTGGATAGGTCAGTTTCTAAAAGTTACAGAAAAGCTTTTCGAGAATGCCATGTTTGATCTCTCGTCTCTTACTCTTTACTCTTTAGCTCACTATACAATAGTGAACTACAAGCTTTATTTTATTCAAGTGTTTTGGTGGGGTGGGGCACTGGTCAAAACAACTTATTCAGGCATCTAATACTATCCAAATTGCTGATAATAAGTTGAATTTCTTTGTTGGGTAAAGTTGCACAACTGAAAAACAGGAGATGAACTCATTGTACAGATTATCTCTGGCTTGGGATTTTATCTTTAGTTCAGGGGTCAAAGCAGAGTTTTAATAGCAACTTCCTGAAATATGTGTAATAGTGAAGCTTTCTATGATTTTTTTTAAGCATTATAGGGAGACTGTTCACTTTTATCACAAATTAGTGGACAACTACGAGAACGATATTTGGAGAATATCCAAAATTTTGTAAGATATTTTCTAGTTTCAAATTATCTTGTTCTGGGACAAGAGAGATAGTACAGCAGGTAGGGCATTTGCCTTGCATGCAGCCCCCCTTGGTTTGCATATGATTATCCCTGGTATCCCATATGATTCCCTGAGCCTGCTAGGAGTAATTCCCAGAGCCAGGAGGAACCTCTGAACATGACCAAATGAGCCTCCACCCACAACTGTCTTGTTTTTAAGAAAAAAATTTTTAAAAATCAAGTGACTTAAGAATATTAGAATAGGAAGCTCATAAACTTCAGTAGATATTTTAAGGAAAATCAAAGTAATGTATAATTCTTGATAGTTTAATGTTGGAATTACAACCTTTTCTTCTTTTTACTAATATTTCTTCAGCCATTTTATGGCTTCTCAAGATTGGCAGAGGTTTTTAATTAAAATATGAAACTTAATTGCTTCATAAATACTAGTTTGATTACTTAAGCAACTGATGTATGAATTCCTACAAATGTGCAAAGACTGACTCCTCCTCCCTCCTCTCCCCTCCCTACAGTAGAAAGTCTGATTATTCTTGGTTTCTATGCCAGCAGCAGATACTTGAGATAAAAGAAGAGGTTTTTGAGGACAGTGAAGACATGATGAGATGTATCCGTCTTAGTTAGGATAAGAGTTAAACAGTGGACCTTGGGAAGTTTAGGTGGAGACATGAGAATTACTCTTCTCTTTTATCTCCCCAAGCCCTCTTCTGTTAATCCCCTCCTTGCAAGATGATTTCCAAACTCTAGGGAATAGCACCCAGGAGAGAATGCAGGGGTTAAGGTGTATTCCTGTATACTGCCGACCCCCAAATAGTACCACTGGACCAGGATAGAGAATCACAGAGAGTGCCCTCCAGGCCGCTTAAGCACTGTGTGGATGCCCCCAACCTCCAATCAATTTTTAAATGGTGGGCTAAAAAAAACCCCTATAATTTATATAGTTTACATTTATGAATATAATCAGGATGATCAGACCAGCCTTTGAGACATACTTATATTGGATCATGGTAGAATCCTGTTTCTCCGAAACCCTTAGCAATTCTCAAAGAATATTAATATTGTTTGAGAATATATCTCATGTATTGTTTATATATATTGTTCATATATGTCATATAATCATATGTTCACAGTCTGGCATAAGAGGGCAGTTTATAACTTTAGTCTTTTTGTTTTGGGACCATACCTGGCTGTGCTCAGGACTTACTCCTGCTCCTTTGAGCTCAGGGATCATTCCTGGAGATGCACAGGGGATCTTATATCGTGCTGAGGATTAAACCCAGGTCAGCTGCATGCCCTACTTGGCAAGGCAAGTATCTTGACCTCTGTATTATTTCTCTGGACCACTTAAGTGATCTAAATATACTGCCACCAATTCTTAATTTTGAAAGTTGATTATTAGTAGAATTCACTTAAGATTTATTTCTACTTAGTTTTTGCTTGGACAGTACAGCCCTCACGTCTTGCCTTACTTTCTAGAGCTATGAGGATTGGTAGACTTAGAACATCAAGAGATTTAGGGTAGTGTATAGTGTATTACTGAGTTAAAGGAAATCTACTTTTTAATATTGCCCAATCCCTTCCCCTCCCTATGTTTATTGAGTCCTATTATAAAAACAAAGCATTTAAAACAATAATTTTGATAATGGTTAACCATTGCCATTTGGATAGTGGCTTAAAGTATGTTATATTCTTTTTTTAAAAAAAATATGGGGGGGGGGGGCACATGCACTGTTGCTAAGATGTTACTCTTGACTTAGTGTTCCAAAGTCACTCCTGGTGGTGCTCAGGGGACATGTGGAGCCAGACATAAGACCCAGTTTCCTGTTTGCAAAGCAGATGCTCAGGCCTTTGAGCTATCTGTCTGTCCCTCTAAGGTTTTGTTTTTTTTTTCTGGGGGAGATGTGGGGGGCTTGGTGTTGGGGGGTAGGTTGGGCCACAGCCAGCAGTGCTCAAAGCTTAATTCAGGCTGTGTGCTCAGGGGACTATGTGTGGTGCCAGGGATTGAACATGGGTTGGCTGCGTGCTCGGCAAGCATGTTTTCTGCCCTACTGCCGCTCTGGTCCCTTAGGTTATATATTTATGATGGGAAGTAATGCAGTTCAAAGGAATGAAGTTAGGCAATCTATATTGACACTGAATGTCCTATACAAGTGAGGCTAGAAATGCTATTTATAAAGATATATGTATAGTATAGTTCTATAAAATAGCAAAATTTATATTTCATTGGGAAAATCTGATAATTTACACAGGAAACTCTGGTTGGGGGTAGGGATGGGGGAAGCCACGGGTACTGGGTACTGGGGTTCTGACCCAGGGCTCTGTGGCTGAACTACATTCATCCTACATAGGAGTGTAAAGTATTTTCCTTTGGGATAGTAATGGGAAGTTGGGAGAGGGGTATTTTTATATCACATACATGTGCGACTATGTTCACATTTTCAAGAAACTCTTTGGTTATTTGATTTTTGGAGGGGCTACACCCAAACACGTATTTGAGGCTTAGTCCTGACTGCTCTCAGGGATCACTCATGGTGTAGCCCTAGAGACCCTGCTTGGTGTTGGGGATCGAACCCAGGTTGGGCATGAGCACGGCAAGAGCCTTACCAGCAGAACTATTTCTCGGGTCCCAAAAACTCTTTTTTGCAATAAGAAATTGTTTTAATTTTTGCAGGGGGTGGAGGGGACGGAAGTTACCCTTCCCCCTCTCCCACCCCTCCTCCCATGCTCATAAAGGTAAAGGTAAAAGGTAAAGGCCCTCCCGTTGATCGTCGATTTGCTCGAGCAGGCCCAGCAACGTCTCCATTGGAGACTTTGTTGTTACTGTGTCTGGCATATCGAATACTCGAATACTCTCGGTAGCTTGCCGGGCTCTCCGAGAGGGGCGGAGGAATCGAACTCAGGTCGGCCATGTTGGCCGCATGTAAGGCGAACGCCCTACCCGCTGTGCTATCGCTCCAGCCCTGTCCCATGCTCATGCAAGTGCTCAAATACTGCTCATATAGTGCTCATGTAAGATGGGCAGCTGTATGCAAGTACCTCACTGCTATACTCTCCTGGCTTAAATGTTTGGTAAAAGATAAACAGTATGAATATAATGACTAATTGACAGCTGTTGCATGTGTGAAGCCCTTCTTCCCTTCGTTTCGTTCTTCTAATCAGCCCGTGAAGTGTAGACAGTTCTGTCCCTGTTTCACAGAAGAGAAAACTGAGAGGTTCAGTCTCTCCCTTGGGTCAGCAACAGCTGTGACAGTGCAGCAGGCTGCCTGCCGTTCTAGAAATCACTTTGCTCAGGTTTTATATCAAATGTGGCTCCGATTGCATCTTTTTAATGCAGCAACTAGAATGTAGGTACTGCTACAGAAGTCCTTGAAAAGAAAATAAAGCCCAGAACGCTCGATATTATTAAACAGTCTTTAATTTTTTTTTTTTACCTTTGATTAGCAGCTCGAAGTGAACTTTAATTGTATTTTAAGGAAGACTGGCTTCCCGAGAGACCCATCTGGAATTCCGGTTCCTTAGTTCTGCTTCTGCCACCAAAGTTTCAGTCTTCGTTTTGTTTTTTGTTTATTTTATACATCGGGCAAGTACAAGAACTGGTTCTGTTGGTTTTAAAATAAATTTGAAAATCCTAGAGCCAAAGCAGAAAAAAAAAAAACCCAGTTTATCCGTCTTTTTCTCTTTTTCTGTCCAGTTAAAAAATTTTACAGAGCTCTAAATTTAGGGATGCTTTGGCATCTTCCTTAAACACGCCAGAGATACTCCCAAATATTTAAATTACCTTCTATCTTAGATCTATCTTACCTTTGTTAGTGGAGTATATTAATCCATTTTATTTATTTTTATTTATTTATTTATTTATTTTGCTTTTTTGGGTCACACCCGGCGATGCACAGGGGTTACTTCTGGCTCTGCACTCAGGAGTTACTCCTGGCGGTGCTCAGGGGACCATATGGAATGCTGGGAATCGAACCCAGGTTAGCCACATACAAGGCAAACGCCCTACCTGCTATGCTATCTCTCCAGCCCCTATTAATCCATTTTAAAGACTGTTTCTTTCCATTTTGTGTGTGTGTATGGAATGCAACTACGGAAGTGTCATAAAATTGTTGTTTTGAAGGACAGTCCCAAAGAATTAGTAGGAACTATAACTCTACTGGGACAGTTTTAGAAGGGAGGAAGGAAAGAGTAGCTTGCTTTTATTTATTTTTTTAAAATCGTTATAAATATAAGCTCCTTTACCTAGTATATTACTAACGATCTCCTGTTTATTAGACACTGTAACTCTTACTACCTATAGTCTTCACATCAGCCCTGGGAGGTAGGCACTTCACTATTGGCACTGCTTTATCAATAAGGGACTTGATGCTTAGAAAGATAGTAAGTGGGGGAAATCCCTGTTGTGTGGGAAAACAAAAAACAAACACTGTTTAACCAGAGAACTTACAATGCTTCTGCTTTGTGATTTCAGCCAATCACCTGCCTGGTCACATTTCCAAAACAAAAGTTAATGTCAGGAATGGAAATTATGGAGGGGGGGGGGAAACCCAGTATTTTTGGTGTAAAGTTCATTTATTGGTTACTGTTAACAATTCTTATTAAAATTCTTCTTAAAATTAAAGCACCTCAGTGTTCTCAGCAAACTCCTTCAGCCAATGAGTATTTTCAAGGTCTACCCAAACTCCCCGGGCCAGTCCGGCCCCTTTCCTTTGGCTCCACCCCCCTGTGAGTATTTGCCTGAGAAATCTTCAGTCTGGCCTGTAGAAGATGTGCAGTTGTCTCTGCACCAGACAAGCAAGGCTTAATGAAAACTCTCAAAAATAGGAACTTGTGGGAGAGAAGATAGAAAAGACCAGTTTACAAGGTATGTCTAGTGTATAAAAAAAAAAGGAGAAAGAATAGAAGGTATGAGGAAAGGTGGAATTTAATTTTTACCTTTAAAGCTAGGGTAGAGCTAAGGCAGTTTTTCAGAACTTTTAGCATGATCATCACGTTTCAGTTTTGTTTTTGGGCCACACTCAACAGTGTTCAGGGTTTATTCCTGGCTCTGTGCTCAGGGATCAATACTGGCAGTGCTTTGGGTACCATATCAGTGCCAGGGATCGAACCCGGGTCATTCAGGTGCACGGCAGTACTTTACCCACTGTACTATCCTTGTAGGCCCTAAGTTTACAGTTTTTAACATTATCACCTGATTTTCTCTAAGAACCGTGTTAACGAATGCTCTACTCCAGATTTGTACTTTTTTTTTTTTTAAACCAAATGGTGCCAGGGATTAAATGTAGGGACTGAAACAAGGCAAGTGCTCTACTACTGAGCTTCATCCCTGGCCCAAATTCAGGCTTTTATATTCTGATTTAAATGATTTGCTTAATTTTGGGGCTACACTCAGTGGTACTCAGGGCTTACTCCTGGCTCTGCATTCAGCTCAAGGATCACTCCTGGAGGGACAGGGGGAACATATGAGGTGCTGGGGATCAAACCTGGTTCTCCACATGCTAGACAAGCAACCGACCCTCTGTACTATCTCTTAAATTACCTTGTTAGGAGCTCTTCAATTGATTAATAAGGAAATAGTTCATTTATTAGATAATCTTTATAAAATTTCCATGTTTATTTGTGGGGAGGATACCCTGGCTCTATGCTCAGGAATCAATACTGGCAGTATTGGGAAAATAAATTTACTATAATATTTATAATTAAAATATTAAAGTAAATAGCCTCCCTACAGGTATTTTTTGAAAAGCGACCGCAGAGTTCTCAGTACAGTTCTTTTGTGTGTGCATAAGCTAATCTTTAACCAGAAAAATTATTGACTGAGGATACAATTTCGAAGACACGCTTATTTTAGAGTTTTAACTTCTCAATCGGAATCCCATGTAATCGATTTAGAGTGCTATAGATTTTGAGCCTTTCACTGCTTGTTTATTTTCTCCAGCAGACTTTTGCATTCGGTCTGAGACATGTTAGAACTCTTATCTGAGTTCCCCGTATTCACATCTGTGTGCACATGACAGATTTCAGTTCTGCTGTGGTTGACTTCAGTTATCTGACTTGCCCAACAGGTTCCTGGGTGGAGCTCCCCATGAACAGCAGCAATGGAAATGATAATGGCAATGGGAAAAATGGGGGACTAGAACATGTACCTTCCTCATCCTCAATCCACAATGGGGATATGGAGAAGATTCTTTTGGATGCGCAACATGAATCAGGACAGAGCAGTTCCAGAGGCAGTTCTCACTGTGACAGGTAAGTGGGTTTCTTCTTTCGGGAGGATTCAGGAAACAAGGGTTAAAGGTAAATTTCCATTGGACAAAAAGGTAAATTTCCATTGGACAAAAATTTACTTTTGATTTAACAAAATGTGACTCTTACTTTACTGCAGCATTTTACATCAGACAGCTAATTGACAAGTACTCAAGTACTGACCATTCTTGGCCAGATTGGATCAGTTGCCTATTCATATTCTATCATTTTTAGGTCCTTATTGGTTAAGAAGTCAGTGGCATAAATCTTTACATGTAGAATTAATCCTCACTTTTTTCTTTGTGTTTCAAATATCATGTTTTGCCTTGAAGATGTGTATGTATATGTATTAGTTACCTTCAGTTTATTTTCATATGTTTTTCCTTAATTCAAGACCATGAAACTCCAAAAGACGTGGGTATGTTTTATCTCCTTTGTGCCCCTTGCAACAATGGTTTGGGCACATAGTAAAGACTTAATACATGTTTTCATCAAAGAAATGAAGGTTAATTCAAGTTATAGCAGTATTTTTGCAGTGGAAGCACCAGCCAGGTCTGCAAAGAGTTAAAGATTTTTAGACAAGTAAAACCTCACTTTTTTTTCACCTGAATTTGATTTGGGAAAATTAATCCATAGAATAGGGGCTTCTTAGATCAAAAGAACACTGAGATATGTATTAGTAAAATCAAGTTTTTCTCTCTTTTTTTTTCCTCAGAGGAATCCCAGTTTTATGACACAGTGATATACCTAACAGTTCTTAGACCAGCTATAGCAGTCCTGTTAGTTTTATGAAGTATTGGATGATTTTCTGGTTAACTAAGAGTTAACCAAATACTCATTTTGTGGAAAATAAAAATAAATGGAGATTAAGGAAACATTAAAAATATATAAACAGTGATTGTGGGTAGGGTTGAAATCTTTGGATATTTTTCTTCTGACTATTTTTGTATTAAAAAAATTGTGAGGGGCCGAAGCAATAGTACAATGGGTAGGGTGTTTGCCTTGCACGTGGCTAACCCAGGTTCGATCTCTGGCATCACCAGGAGTAATTCCTGAGTGCAGAGCCAGGAATAACCCCTGAGCATCACACCTTTTTGGGTGTGACCCAAAAAGGAAAAAAAAATTTTTCGAAAAAAAATTGTGTATGTAGCATATATTTTTGCTTTCACAGAATATGTAAAAGGTGACATAAGGGTTGAATCATGTTAGAAGTTCCTGCATGCCTCTGCTCCTCTGTGTTACCAAGACCCTGGGGGACCGGTTGGCTGGCTCTGTGGCAAGTTACACACCTCCACATTGCTGTCTCATCTCTGACTTGTTTCTGCCTCCTGGAGCCTGGGATGGCTCTTATCATGAGCAGAAGCAGAACAGATGGTTCTTTTCCCAGCTGCTTGCTCTTGAGTCCAGTATTAGAATGTCTTTCAGAGTGAAGACAAATATTGCAGTTATAATAGGGGACTCATTGATGGAGCTGAAGTTTCTGCTGCTTTATCCACCCATTGATGACTTCTTATGTATTCAAGTACATGACCTTGATCATGTACTCCTGGTGTGACTCCTGGTTCCTGTCCATCTTAAAGTTCAGCAGCATCCTACCAGGATTTCTTTTTATTTCTTTTTTCTTTTTTCAATTGAGTTACCGTGATTCAAAAAGCTATTCAAAGTTGAGTTTCAGGCACACGATTTTCCAATACCAATCTCCAAACCAGCGTCAACTTACCTGCACTAACATCTCCGGTTGCCAGTCAGCCCTCCAGCCTGCCTCCTTGACAATGCATTTTTAAGTTTGGTTGTTGTAGTTGGGATCACCTGGCTTTGGTTTTGTTGGTTCTGTGGTTCAGATATATAAATATACCTCATTTCTACACCACCAACATGGAAAGGCCCAGCCACCTGCCCCTGTTACTTCCCGTCTGCCTCATATTTCCCTTTCTACCCACCGTGGTTTCTTTCCTTCCTTCCCCATCCTTCTCAGTTCAATTTCCTAGGGGCTAGAGTAAACCTAGATATCCTCCCCACCTTACAGTCTCTTATCCTGTTATTTTTTACTCATAGATAAGTGAGAACACACAATATTTATTTTCTGTTGCTGACTTACTTAACCCGATATCCTCCAGTTCCATCATTTTGCAGTGAATTGTATGATTTCATCTTTCCTTGCAGTTGCATAGTATTCCATTGTGTATATATCTCAACTCCACTACCCACTCATCTTTTGTTGGACCCTCTAGGTTGATTCCATATCCTCGCTGTTTTGCTCAGTGCTGCAATAAATAATGAGGTGCATATGTCTCTTTGGATTAATGTTTTTGTGTCCTAGAGTTAGATACCAAGAAGTGGAATTGCTGGATTATATTGTAACTCTATTGTCACTTTTCTGAGAAATCCCCATACTGTTTTCACAGGAGTTGATTCAGACAGTTTTTTTTTTTCCCTTTATTTTATTTTATTTTTTTTTACAGTTGTAGATTTACAATTTTTTGTGCTTTGGTTTCAATTATACAATGATCAGATACCCATCCCTCCACCAATGCCCATTTTCCACCACCATGGATAATATCCCTCCCACCCCCATCCCCCCATCCCCCCTGTCTCTGTGGCAGGGCAATCCCTTGTGTTCTCTCTCTCCTTTTGGGTGTTGTGGTCTGCAAAAGTGGCATTGAGTGGGTGGCAAACATGTTCAGTCCATAGTCTACTTTCGACATGCATCTCCCCTCCTGGGAGGATCCTCCAAACATCCTTTATTTGGTGCTCCCTTCTCTATCTGAACTGCCCTTTCCTCTAGGATACCCGGCTGGCCTCTAAGTTATGGAGTAATCCTCCTGGTGCTGATCTCAGCTATTCTTGGGTATTAATCTCATACTTTGTTACTTTATATCCCCCAGATGAATGCAATCTTTCTATGTCTATCCCTCTCTTTCGATTCAGACAGTTTTTTTAAAAATTTTTATTAGTGAGACACCATGAGGTACAGTTTGTAGACTTACAAATTTTGTGCTTGGGTTTCAATTATACAATGATCAAATACCCATCCCTCCACCAGTGCCCATTTCCCACTACTGCGGATCCCAGTATCCCTCCCATCCCCCACTCCCCCATCCCACCCTGTCTCCGTGACAGGGTATTCCCCTCTGTTCTCTCTCTCCTTTTGGGTGTTGTGGTTTGCAAAAGAGGCATTGAGTGGCAATCATGTTTGGTCTATAGTCTACTTTCAGCATGCTTCTCGCATCCTGTGAGGATCCTCCCAACACCCTTTATTTGGTGCTCCCTTCTCTAGCTGAGCTGCCTTTTCCCCTAGCATGTGTGGCTGGCCTCCAAGCCATGGAGCAAAATTCCTGGTACTAATCTCGGCCATTCTTGGGTATTAGTCTCCTATTTTGTTACTTTATGTTCCCCAGAAGAATGCAATCTATGTCAGACAATATTATTACGAGCAGTGGATGAGAGTTCCTTTTTCTCCACATCCCTGCCAGATTGTTCCCCATTTCTTTGATATGTGCCATTTCTCATAGTCATTTTATTTCGAATTTTCCTGAAAATAAGTGAGGATGCACAGTTTTTCATGTATCTATTGACTGTCTGCTTCAGAGAAGTTCATTTTTTGAGAATATTTTTGTTTTTTTTTGTTAGTATTTTTGTTCTTTTTGTTGTTGATTTTTAATTCTACTGGGATTTCTGACTAAAAATGTAAAAATGTGTTCGTAATTCATGTCAGTTGAATTGCAAAGCATTTTTATATTTGAAATTGTTTAGAGGTTTTTAAAGTTTATAGGATTGTTGGATATTAATTCCAAATTAATCAAGGTATATTTTCTATTTAAAAATCATTCCACAGACACTTCTTTGGGGTCACTATCATGCTTGTTAGAAATAGCCTCTATGTATTTTATCCTATTGTAGGAATTTTTAGGTTACAAATTAGAATCACAGGAATCAGGAGGGAGCTTTTAAAGATTCTAGGGTGCAGATCTCATGGCCAGACCCTATACCTAAGGATTCTCATTCTGTTTTCAGGCTGGGTAGAGATATGCAGATAATCTGAAAGTTGCCTAACTGGTCATAATTTGTGCCATTGGTGAATTGAAGCGCCAGAGCACGCCAAGTTTTCCAGAGTAGGGAGCAGCTCACCAGTGAAATGTTTGACCTTTGTCTAAGTGAGAACGTTGTCAGTGGTAAACAGGAGTCCTGAAGTCGTGCGGTACTCCATAGCAGTTTTTCCTTCATCTCTCTCCCTGACCCCGTGGCCACCTTCTGACCTTGTTTTCTTCTGGTGACCACCCTACTTGTTGGCCTCCTGGTCCTGTGCCCTGATCCCCTCATTTAGGAGATTTTCTTTTCTTTGTTTCTTTTCTTTTTTTTTTTTTTCTGAAACATTTTATTAGGAATTGCAAAAATAGTGATTTTTCTAATTTAGGAAGTTTCTTCTATATTTGTTAGTTGGTAGTTGTCTGTGTAAAATAATGTTTTCTTCTGAAGTGAGACTTAATTGTATTTTTCCCTGAAAAGCAGGATAAATTTACACTTAAAAATTGTAACAATTTCGAATACAGTAAAAGGCATAAACATCAAGTGTAATCTCAATGGACAATTGAACCAGTATTAACAATTTTATGTCTTCATTCCACTCTTTTTAAAAACCTGTATAGATAGATATTATGAAATCTTATTCATAGATTTTATATCTTCCCTCTGTCAATATTATATTATCATTTATTATTAAGTATTGTAACATTTGTGCTGGCTATATAATAATAATATAATAATAGTAGTAATTCATGTGTCATACAATATTTTCCAATTCACTTTTTTAATATTTAATTTTTTATTTTTAAATGAATCACTGTGAGGTACAGTTACAGACTTACAAACTTTCGTGCTTATGTTTCAGTCACACAGTGGTCGAGTACCCATCCCTCCACCAGTGTCCATTCTCATTTAGGAGATTTTCACCTGTAGTGGGGCCCCAGTTTGAGAAATACTGCTCTGTTTTTGATGCAGATAATAAGGAATACACTTGGTTCAGTTGCCTCTCCTGGCTCTGCTTAGTCATGAGCTGTACCTGAAGGATTTGAACTAGTATCATGGCTGGGCCACAGCCATACTAGGCCAGTGCCTTACCGTTTGGACTATCTCTCCTGCCCACAGAATTCTTTGCCTTACCTATATAAGCCTGCCCGGGTTTGATTCTTCTGTTTCTCTTGGAGAGCCTGGCAAGCTACCGCGAGTATCACACCTGCACGGCAAAGCCTGGCAAGCTCCCCGTGTTGTATTTGATATACCAAAAACAGTAACAAGTCTCACAATGGAGACGTTACTGGTGCCCGCTCGAGCAAATCGATGAACAATGGGAGGACAGTGCTACAGTGCTGCCTATATAAGCCTAGCCCGCGACTCTATGGCAGAGTTTTGGGCATATAGAATGAACTGTTTCATGTAGAGTATTTGATAGAGAATCAATTTCTCTTTTTTCCTTCCACTTTTAAGAATCTCTTTTAACAATCTCTTCAGTAGAATAAGAGCCTTAGAACTAATCAGTCTGATAAATTTCTGGTGATGATTTTTTCAGTCTCGCCAACGTCACTACACATTAACATTAGACACATGAGATTCGTAGCTCTGCTCCTTAGCATCTGTTTCTTGACCAGGTTAAACCTGTAGCATTTTTCATTCCTGCTTGACTTTAGAGTTGGGCTAGAGGGTGGAGTGTGGTGAAGAATCTAGTGACTGTATATTTGCTGATGGGAAGCACAGCTCTGTTGGAGGCATGTACTAGTAGCCATGTAGTCAAGTGCAGTTCATGATTATGCTTTTTATTATCTCCCCTGCCCCCCCCACACACAGACTGTGTTCTTGTAGCTCTGCGATTTTTCTTTTTTTACTTTTTATTAAAAGTTACATAAATAATTTACTCTTTAATATCTCAAAGAAATACTTTTTTAAACATAAGTAGTATAGTGATTCTCAAATATTTTGTTCTCAGTATTTATACCTTTAAAATTATTAGGAATTCTGAAGATGTTCTTGTTGTTGTTCTGGTTTGTGGACCACACCCAGTAGTGCTCAGGGCTTACTCCCAGTAGGCTTGGTGGGTTATATGAGATGCCAGGGACCAACCTCCCAGTCAGCCACATGCAAGGCAAGCACCTTACCTGCTATCACTCCAGGCCAAAGCCTACAGAACCCAGTATTCCTAGGCGGTCTCCCGTCCAGAGTTAGTACTCATCCGAGTACTAATCAGGCCCAATTTTCCTTAGGTTTGAGATCAGATGAAAGCAGGTGTATTCAGAGTAGTATGTCCCCAAAGATCTTCTGATTGCATATTTTGATATTTGCAGTATTGCAAGTTTAAGCAAAAAATTTTGTATGCCTATTAAATATTATCAAAACAATAAAACTAATTGCATATTAGTATGAGTAACTTTAAGAAAATAAAATGACTATTTTCCTATAATCAGAATTACTCAGTGGCATTGTTTTACATTTTTGAAATCTGTAATATTTGGCTTAATAGAAACAACTGGATTCTCATTTTCTTTTGTCTTTTGATCCATTTTGTGGCACATATCACGTTGACTTTGGCAAGCTAGCTCAATGAACTAAAGTGCATACTTTGTGTGTAGAAGCCCTGGTTCAGTCCGCTCTTGTATGGGTTCCCTGAGGACTGCAAGGTGTGACCTTTGAAGACAAAAACCTAAGACAGCATACAGCCTTAAAGGATGTTCACTTTATGTTCATGGGAAAATGAGAATGAAAGAAGCAAGTGAATCCTAACGGTATTATGAAAACAATTCTAACCATGAAGATCTTTAGAAATACTCTTGGAAAACTGCTTTTACATTTTTAGATCTACTGTTGAAGAGCTTCTTTATAATGAAAAACTTTTAAGAACACTAAATCAAGTTTCTGAATTTGAACCTTCTTTCATCTTTGTTAGAAAAAAAGAGAAAAATAAGAAAAGGTAACAGACATGTGTCTTTAGCTAATACTTGCCTTTCAGATTTGTCTTGCAAAGACTTCATTGCCACTGAAAAATGCCGTAACATATTGGAGTAGGAGTGCTCATTTTCATTTTTCCTTATGTGGGACTATGGTTTTGCTTCTGATTTGCTCCTTGGGCAGAACCATGCTGGTGTAACTTAATTTTCTACTTTAAAGGCATATGCAATAAAAAAACAAGAACACTAATGACTAAATTCTTTCTTTTCCAGCCCTTCCCCACAAGACGATGGGCAGATTATGTTTGATGTGGAAATGCATACCAGCAGGGACCATAGCTCTCAAGTGAGTGTGTGCTAATATTTCTAAGTTACAGTAAATAGGAAAAATGTAAATCTGTTTTGCTAAACATATTAAAGAATAAGACTCCTACAGATTGAAGCTATTTGAAGTTGTTCAGTTTATCTTTAACCGTATTATTTTATTTTTACTTACTCCCATTTTCTTTGTTGTTGCAATGATTGGGGTAATATGTGCTGGGTCAGGACACTCACACATCTGGTTATTTGCAGTGTTCCCTAGGGGGCTCGCTCTTTAATTGTGCTCTCACATACCTGGTTGTGGTGTACCAGAGTTGAAACATTCTTTTCTGTAATTTTTTTTAATTGATTTCCCCATGAGATACACAGTAGAGTTGTTCATGAGTGGGCTTCAGTCATATAGTGTTCTAACACCCGTCCCTTCATTTCCCACCACCAATGTCCTCAGTTTTCCTCCCCCCAAGCCCCTCCACCCTGCTTCTATTGCAGTCACTTTTCTTCTCCCCCACCCCTTTTGGGCATTGTGGTTTGCAGTACAGGTACTAAAAGGTTATCATATATCCTTTACTTACTTTCAGCACTCAGTTCTTGTCCAAGGTGATCATTTCCAACTCTCATTGTCATAGTGATCCCTTCCCGAATTCAAATATTCTTTATTGTGCCCCCAAGCTTGTGCTCTATGCTTTTGGGATAGTGCCTAGGATTGAACTCACAGCCTTATGCTTGCACAGCAGCTACTTGGTCTCAAAGCTTTTTCACAGTCTCCTATTTAGATTCTGGTATGAAAGTTCTCTTAAGATGATGCCGTCCTGGTTGTACCTTGTACATCTCAGACTTGAGACCCTTTCATCCTAAAAATTGGAAAATGCTCTTCTGTTATGATCATTCCAGTATTTCTAGGCTTATTTATTCTATAAATAGAAAAATGGAGATTGTCTTATTCAAGGTCACAACATGGATGAAAATGAAGGTATAGTGTTAGAATAAGGTGAGAGAGCTTTTTCTGAAATTTGGATTCTGGAATAACAGCATTGACTTTTGATGAATTTAGGCAGGGAGAAAATTCATTTAAATTATGCAAGATTCTTTTTGTTTTTGTTTCGGGACCATACCTTGCAGTGTTCAGGGTTTACTCCTGGTTCTGTGATCACTCAAAGATCTCTTCTAACGGGGGTCGGGGAACTGTACATAGTGCTGGGGATTGAACTCAGGTCTGCTGCATGCAAGGCAAGTGACTTACACACTGGACTATCTCTCTGGCCCTTTCAGAGTCTTTAAATCAGTAAATATAATTAAGAGTTGACATTTTTGAAAATGGAGTTGCATATAAAGTTAAGAGTTTGAATGTATTTATCCTACAAGAGTTTTTGTTTTGTTTTTAACTTTTTTGGGGTCACCTGGCAATGCTCGGGGGTTACTCCGGCTCTGCGCTCAGGAATTGCTTGTGGCGGTGCACGGAGCCACCATATGGGATGCCTAGTATCAAACCCGAGCCAGCTGCGTGCAAGGAAAATGCCCTACCTCACTGTACTATATCACTCAATTTTTAACTGGCCCCAATTTTTTAACCGTTGTTTAATCGTTTTAATGAAAGTTAAAGTTGTCAGAAAGCTCCTATCCAAGCCTTAGCTTTTTTTTTTTTAAAGTAATTCATCTACTGGTTAAAGAAACTTTGGTACATCTACACAATGGAATACTATGCAGCTATCAGGAGAGATGAAGTCATGAACTTTTCTTATAAATGGGTAGACATGGAGAGTTGAGTGAAATGAGTCAGAAAGAGAGGGACAGACATAGAAGGACTGCACTCATTTGTGGAGTATAAAACAACATAACATGAGGCTGACATCTAAGGACAGTAGATACACGGGACCGATAGATTGCTCCAGAGCTGGAAACCTGACTCATGAGCAGAGGGAAGAAGGCAGCTGAAGTAGAGAAGGGATCACTAACAAAAAGATGGCTGGAGGAATCCGTCGGTATAAGAGATGTGTGCAGAAAGTAGATAAAGGACCAAACATGATAACCTCTCAGGGTCTGTATTGCAAACCATAATGCCCAAAAGTAGAGAGAGATTATGGGGAATCATGTCTGCATGGAGGCAGAGGGAGGGTGGGAAAGGGGGTGTATGCCGGGAATATTGGTGGTGGGGAATGTGCACTGGTGGAGAGGTGGGTGTTTGATCATTGTGTGATTGTAAACCAAACATGAAAGCTTATAACTATCTCACGGTGATTCAATAAAATGAAAAAAAAAAAGCAATTCAACTTTATTAAACAATTCTCCCATATTTATTATGAGCCATGCAAACAAATCAGCCTTTAACAGTGACATCCTGAGGTTTTGTCCATCCCTTAGCTTTGATGTATTGTAGGGTCACCTAAAAGTATCAGCGCACAGATTGTTAAGGTTAGGAACCATTGTCATTTTCTCCTGTTAGGTACATTTTTCAAAATAGGGTCTGAGGAATGCTTGCTCAGTGGGAGGCTCCGAAATCCAGCTCTGCAGTGGGAAATAGTGCAGTTCCTTGGCTTCCTCCCCTTCCTGTCAGGAAGCCTCAGTACACGCTAGTGTTTCACAGACCGACAGTCATGCAGCCTAGGAAGATTTAGACCCAATATTTCCTCGGTCAATTTGACCTTAGGCCTCCTTCCTCCTCCGCACACTGGTTTTTATCCCTCTAATAATATACCTAATAACCCGATGGAACCCTTTGATAAACATGGTCTTGATTTGTGAAATGGCAGAGATACAATTAGGCTTAACTGAAATTTAAGCGAAACTGTAGAGCTTAAACTTGTGACATGCAGGAGAGAAAATGTAAGATCTCTGTGTCAGATAATAGTAGGATTACTAACGTTACCCCTATTCAGAAATAATACGTTGGTTAAAGACCATTGGTTATCACCCAGCATTGGATAAGCAGTATTAGGAATCACATCAGTCCATTTAAACAAGGTTGCACTTTTTTTTCTTTTTGTTTTTGAATTTATTTTCATAAACTTGTTCACAGCAAAGGATTACATTTAATATTTTGACACCAGTTCCACTACCAGTACACCTTCCCACCACCATTATTTTGAATTTTCCTGCCACAAGGTTGCACTTTGGAGAAAGTGCTCTAATTCCCTAAGAAATGCTTTATATTACTTGTACTGGGACTTTTAATGAGGGAGAAACAGTTGGTATAATTTACTTTAACTTAAAAAGAACTTTGTATATTGCTTCTTTTGGTTTGGGGGCCATAGTCAATGGGACCCCGGGACCTGGGGCGACTCCTGGCATGTTGTTGAGGGGTTTCCCCAGAGAGACCCTGGGACTCAGGTGCCAGGGAGCAAGCCCTCTACATGCCCGGCCTGCACACCAACGGGCTACACTCTTCTTTCCCCAGGCCCTTTTGTCGCTTATTTCGTTGAAGAAGCAATTTAAAGATTACCACAGAATCTGGGAAGATGGATTTTATCTACAAATGGGAAGCAAATGTACTTGTTCTGGTTGAATATATTCACATACATCTGTGTTAGGAGTAGCTATCATTTTCAGGCCTTTCTAGGAGGAAGAAGGAAAGGCACTAATATTTCCTGGATATATTTGAGGTGTTCAATTAATTTGAAAGTTTTTCCTATTTTTTTCTGACTCAGTGAAAGTTATTATTATCTCCATGATCTAATGGGGAAATTAAGGTTTTGTACTAATTGTTCTCGGAGAGCCTGGCAAGCTACCGAGAGTATTCGATATGCCAGACACAGTAACAACAAAGTCTCCAATGGAGACGTTACTGGGCCCGCTCGAGCAAATCGATGATCAACGGGAGGGCCAGACTGGCCAGGCCAGTTACTTATGAAGTCCCCCAAACAATTGATAGAGTCAGGATTGTGGATTTTTGTTTTGTTGTTTTGGGCCACATCCGGCAATGCTCAGGGGTTACTCTTGGCTCTGCACTCAGAAATCACTCCATATGGGATGCCAGGGATAGAACCCAGGTAGCGGCATGAAGGCAAACACCCGACTTTCTGTTCTGTTGCTCAGGCCTAGGTAGAGTCAGGATTGACCAGGTTTGTCAGAGCCTGTGGCCCTCGTTCCTTTTACTAAAATAAATGCGTGAGTGTGAGGAGAACTCACAAGATTGTGAGAATGAATTTAAACTTGACAAAAATTTAAGGTATGAGGGAAACAAAGTGATGCTTTTAGGAAACCGACCATGAAAACAATGCTTTTAGGGTGATTTTCCTCTCAAAGTCCCAGTTTCATAACAGAAATGGGCGACTAAAGGCTGCCTCTATGACATTTTTGTACTGTAATTGTGGGATCAGCACACAGTATTATTTGAAGATGATAGAAACTGAAAATGTTCTTTTCATCTTGCTGAGCTGTAGTTTATCTATACATAGACCCTAATATGCAGTTTAAGACCTGTATTTACTGAGAGAACTTGATGTAAGCAAGATAAGAAAATGTAGAGTCCGGAGAGATAGTTTAGCAGGTAGTACCATTGGCCTTGTATTTGGCCAACCCCACTCTGATTACTGGCACCCATATAATCCCCCAAACCCTCCAGGAGTGATCCTTGAGTGCAGAGCCAAGAATAAGCCCAGAGTACAGATGAGAGAGAGGGGGGCGGAGGGGGGAGAGAGGGAGAGAACGAGCCACATGAGAATAACCTAAGAACATCAAAGTCTTCTATTTGAATAATGAGGGGGTTATTGATTTAGCTCAAGACATGAATAATATTTAATAAGACAAAGTATTGTTACCATATTTTGAAATTTCCCAACTATCAGAAAGCAATTTCAAGCCTGAAAATGGCAAATTTTAGATGAATAAAAGGAAGCATAGAATAGTGGCAAATAAAGAGAATTTAAAATCTTCAAAAAATTTTTTCTTGAGAAGAATTAACAATCCCTCACCCTGCTCCTCCTCTCCACCCCCCCACCCCCGCCCCGCCAGGGTGAGGTTGGAGTGTGGGTGAGGTGGAGATGCCCAGTCAGTTCTCAGGAGCCACTTCCTGGCTTTATTCTTCCAACTGGCTAGGATGGTTCAGTGCTACTCTCAGTGCCAGAGGATGTGGTGCTCTGCAGGCCCTAGGGTACTGGTGGTGATTTAGGATCCCCAGGGCTATAGTGGTGTTTGGGAAAGGGGAGAGATGTGGATTTTGCATATGCGTTGTGTGTGCCTCTGACTCCTGTGGTATTTCTCCCTGGCACCTATAAATCTGTTTCCTCTGGTACACTCCCTCAACTGGTCTGGGGGCTTAAATGGAAAAGTTCAAAGTACAAAGGCCTGGAGCGTATGCCTGGGTTTGATCCCCAATACCTCAGGGCCTCCCCAGCCCTGCCAGCTGTAGCTCTGCTGGTGTGTGGAGACTAAATAATAATAGTTAAGAGTTAACTTTGCTCCATGCAAATAGTATATTAAGAAAATTTGTGTGCAAAAATCTTAATGCATTTTCTTTTCTCATGGGAGATATTATTTGTTCACATATTTAAACCTAAATCTTTGAGCAGTTTGAGAGACATGTGATCTAAGTTGAAAGCTATAAAAAGTGGTTTGCAGTATGTTGACTACTGACAGATACTATGTTGTATGTACACACACTGATCTATAACTTGGAAGGTTTTTTTTTTAATGTTTTAGTATTTTGGAGAATCAGTTCACCATTCTGAACAATTCCAGTGCTCAAAGGAAAGCACTGAACCCCAAAGGGTTGCACATAGTGTCTTTCAGTGGGGTTTGTCAAATTCAATACAGATGCATATGACAGTGCCCAGGGTAGCAAAACATTCAAGGGCATTTCACTTTCCTTTTGATATTGGTCAGTGTATCAGTATGGTCCTCTGAGCACTTCAGGGAGTGACGCTACCCCTCCCCCCACCCCTCCCCCTCCACCAGGTATTAGTCCCCACTCCAGCACTGTTAGGTGTGGCACATATGTAATTATTCTTAAGAATGGAGCCTCTAGAGACAGTTTTTCAGGGTTTGAATACTAGCCCTGCTATTACTACTTACGAAACCATAGCCTGTTACTTATTTATATGTCAGTTTCCTCATCTGGAAAATGGAAAGTTAAAGAACCAGGAATATTGCTCAGTAGTAGAGAGTTTGTCTTGTTTGTGTAATACACTGTGTTCCATCCCTGGCATTGCAAAAGTGGAATGAAACAAACCAAAAAAAAAGAATCTAAAAACTCCTATAAGTGGAAAGTGAAGTTTCTTTTTCATAGCATTGTGGCAAGAAAAAAGTTAATGCCTATAAATTGGTTAGAAGGATGTTTATTTTTATACATGCTCAATAAATATTGTTATTCATCCTATCTCCCAGTTGTTTTCTCATTGCTTTGTTACCATCTACTTTTTGGTATGTGAAATTTTATTTTTCGTTGTGAAAACCTTTAAATCTGTGCAGAAGTAAATAGAATCTGCCGTGATGGGCCTCCATCTTTGCATCACCCAGCTTCAATGATCCTGTCCAGACTGTTTCCCTAGAGGCTGATCAGACAACATTGCCACTAACAGTGAAAGGGGGATGTGGTCTTTTCACCACATCCCTGCCAACACTGGTTGTTATTTTCTGATGCATGCCATTCTCACTGATACGAAGTTATATCCACTTTTTTTTTGTTTCCATGGTGATAAGTGATAATGAACACTATTCTACATGCCTTCAGGCCTTTTGCATGTCTTTTCCAGTGAAGTGATGGATTTGTTGTGTTTTAGTTGTTGAGCTTTGTGAGTGTTTTTAAGTATATCTTGGATGTTAGGCCTTTTTCCTATATACATTTTATGCATATTTTTCTGCCAATAAGTAGGGCGTATTTACCTTTTAGTCCAAGTTTCTTTTGTCATGCATTTTCTCATTTGACTAGTTTCATTTGTTAATTTTTGTTTTTGTTATCTTTGCTTCTGGAGTCAAATCATTGAAGACTCCTCTGAGGTCTGTATCCTGAAGAGTTTTGCTATGTTTTCCTCAGTGTGTTTTGTGGATTCTGGTCTAAATCTCAAGGTATTTAATGTGCTTTGATTTAACTTTTGTGAATGGTGTGAAATACTGATCCAGCTTCATTTTCTGCATGTGGTTATTTAGTTTTTCCAGCATATTTGTTGAAAAGACATCCCTGACTCAACTTCATGTACGCAACTCCTTTATCATAGATTAACTGTTCATAAACTGAGGCTTTATCTTAGGGCTCTGAATTCTGTTCCTTTAGTTTAAGAGTTCATCTTTGAGGACTGGAGATTCTTTTTATACAGTGGGTGAAAGTGTAATTGAATTGTCATAAAGCTGTGTGGAAAACAGAATTTATGTGTGATGAGTTCAGGCTTTCAAGCCAAGTGCAGTCTGGTTTAATACTGCAGTTTATAGAAAAAATGTGGGCATAAAGAAAAAGCTGAGGGCCGAAGAGATAGTACAGCAGGTAGGGTACTTCCTTGCACTTGGCCGAACTAGGTTCAAGCCCAGGCAACACATTTGATTCCCTGAGCCCAACCAGGACCTTGAGCACAGAGCCAGGAGTAAGCCCTGAGCATTGCCAGGAGTGGCCCAAAAACCTGAAGAGAAAAGAAAAAAATTGAGTGAAGAGTTAAGCAGGCTGTAAGCAGGATTCAGTTATTTGCCAGGTCTTTACCTAATTCTCATTGCAGAAATGCTCCAAATGAGGCGAATTACTCTTAGAAAGTATGCCCTCGGGAGGATGGGGTTGTGGCTACACACATTTTGTTAACCCTAAAGGTAGCAGAGAGACCTGCAGTGTTCAGCTCCAGCAGAGCAGACGGCCTTAGGTTTCAGGGTCAGTCCTCTGTGGGTGGATCCATACTGAGGGATTCTCCTAAGTAGTTATTCACGCTTGATATACTTTGGTACCTAAAACTTCAGCCGTTGGAGACTTTGTGTTATTTAACAGTGGGAGTGTATTTTGTACCTTTGCAGATTACAGCAAAGGAATTTTTTTCCTTTAGCTTGCTTCTTTCTGGCCTAACCAGATCTCAACCCCATCTAAGGATCATTAGCCACAAAAGAGTTTCTCAAGTGAGAGTTTCTTTGCTTGATGTCCAGTGTGTTAGTCCTTTATTTGGTTTGTTTTTGTTTTGGGGCCACTCCTGGTGGTGCTCAGGGGTTACTCCTGGATCTGCCCTCAAGAATCACCTCTGGTGGTACTTGGGGAACTCTGTGGGATGCCGGGGATTGAACCCAGGTCAACTGCATACTAGACAAATGTTACACTTGCTATACTATGATTCTGGCCGCTGTGTTTTAATCCTTATTCCCAGTAATTTCTTTTCCAATAAATCGCCAAAATTTTACAAATTATAATGGCCTATATTCTCCCAAGTGAAGTATCTTAAGACTTATTTTACTTACAGTATCTGTATTTAAGATACTGTTGAATTCCTGATACGGAAATTGAGGTGCAGTTTTACTAATAAACTATAATTTTAAATAATTTTGAATAGTTTTTATTCAGCAATCACAGTCAGTGTAAATTTCACGGTCACGGTCACGGTCCTCCCGTTGTTCATCGACTTGCTCGAGCAGGCCCAGTAACGTCTCCATCATGAGACTTGTTGTTACTGTGTTTGGCATATCGAATACGTCACGGTAGCCTTGCTAGGCTCTGCCGTGCGGGTAGTATCTAATTGGATAAAAAATATATTAAAGGTTGATTGGCTGATTGATTTAGGGGACATACTGGATGGTGCTTTGGTGCTCAGTACTGGGAAATTGCTTAGGAATTTTCATATTTAATTAGCCTTGTATCCTGAAGAAGACTTTGTTTTAGACATATATTTTAAATTTAGATATACAGCAATGAAACTCAAGGATTTTTTTTTTAAATACTAGTATGATCTTTTGTCAAATGAACTTTTTGGCTACTAAATATTATGGTCTTATGTGCGATAGCACAGCGGTAGGGCATTTGCCTTGCACGCAGCCAACATGGCCGACCCGAGTTCGATTCCTCCGCCCCTCTCGGAGAGCCCGGCAAGCTACCAAGAGTATTCGATATGCCAGACACAGTAACAACAAAGTCTCCAATGGAGACGTTACTGGGCCTGCTCGAGCAAATCGATGATCAGTGAGAGGGCCTTTACCTTTACCTTTTTAAAAAGCAATGGCATGACTTTTGTGTTAAAATTACCAAATCTCATATTTTTTTTGTCAGATCTGTCTTTGTACAGGAGAAATTGATCTTTTTTAAAAAATGTTTAATTCTTTTTTTATAGTCAGAAGAGGAAGCTGTAGAAGGAGAGAAAGAAGTTGAGGCTTTGAAGAAAAGTGCAGACTGGGTGTCGGACTGGTCCAGTAGACCTGAGAACATCCCACCCAAGTAAGTTTGTGTTTCTCTTTTGGCAGACACAGTTGATCCCGTTCACACTCTTTATTATGTGTAGTGTATCTGGTGATTCCCAAAATATTTCCATGCATTTCTGACACCAACTTCTGAACTTCTTCTCCAGGGAGTTCCACTTTAGGCACCCTAAGCGTTCTGTTTCACTAAGCATGAGGAAAAGTGGAGCCATGAAGAAAGGGGGTATTTTCTCGGCCGAATTCCTTAAGGTGTTCATTCCATCTCTCTTCCTTTCCCATGTTTTGGCTTTGGGTCTAGGGTAAGTACTGGTGAACTCCCTAAGTTATTTCACTTGCTTTATTTACATGAGAAATGTATATGAAAAAGTTTGTATGTTTTATTTATTTTTAATGTTTTGGTGCAAATAACGTGAGCTTAATTGTTCAGGTTGTTACATTACTGTGATAATGAAAAAAATGTTGATTTTTTTTTCTTGATTTCTTTATTTGAGAAGTTGCTCTCATTAATATTAGTAGCCCCCAGATGAATTTGGTTTTTTTTTTTTTTTTTTTTTGGTATTTGGATCATACTCAGCAGTGTTTCGGGCTTTATCCTGGCTCTGTGCTCCTCCTTCGCTCATAGAGGTGCTTGGGAGAGCATATTGAACCCAGGTTGTTGGCAAGTACCTTAACTGCTGGACTGTCTTCCTTTGCCTCCACCAGTGATGTATATTTTTGGAGGGTAGGGGCTACACCTGGCAGTGCCAGGGGCTTACACCTTACTCTGTTCTCAGGACTCATTCCTGGCCGTGCTTAAGGGGACCATTTGCAGTGCTAAGGATCAAACCGGAGTTAACTGTGCTCAAGGCAAGCACTGTATTATCTCTCCAGCTCCCTGAGGAATGCTTTTTTTTTTTTTCTTTTTGGATAACAGCCAGCAATTCACAGGGGTTACTCCTGGCTCATGCACTCAGGAATTACTCCTGGCAGTGCTCAGGGGACCATATGGGATGCTAGGAGTTGAACCCGGATCGGCCGCATGCAAGGCAAATGCCCTACCTGCTGTGCTATCGTTCCAGCCCCCATCCTGAGCGAATACTTTTAAGTGGGTCATTGTGTTTGATTTCTTTCTTTTAGTTCTGTTGCCTATAAATTACTCAAAATTAGATAAATTTTAAAGTTACGAATATTTCATAAATTTAAGATTGATATCTTATTTTTTCCCCTTGCAAATGGGAAAATAATTAACATGGTGAATGCTCTTTAAGTAAAACAGGTAGGTTATTTTTAAGGTACTTTTACTCTCCTTTTTGTAGGGCTGGAGCGATAGCACAGCAGTAGGGCGTTTGCCTTGCACGCAGCCAACATGGCCGACCTGAGTTCGATTCCTCCACCCCTCTCGGAGAGCCCAGCAAGCTACCGAGAGTATCTCGCCCGCACGGCAGAGCCTGGCAAGCTCCCCGTGACATATACAATATGCCAAACACAGTAACAACAAAGTCTCCAGTGGAGACGTTACTGGGCCCGCTCGAGCAAATCGACGAACAACGGTTGCCACCAACCTGGGTTCAGTATGCTCTCCCAAGCACCTCTATGAGTGAAGGAGGAGCACAGAGCCAGGATAAAGCCCTAAACACTGCTGAATATGATCCAAATACCAAAAAAAAAACAAAAACCAAATTCATCTGGGGGCTACTAATATTAATGAGAGCAACTTCTTCTCAAATAAAGAAATCAAGAAAAAAAATCAACATTTTTTCATTTTTTACTCTCCTTTTTGTAGTGTTCTCATTTATTTTTCTAAAATCGATACCATGTTTACTGTAATATACTTCATTAACTTTTTGGGGGGTATATATTTAAGAGTATTTATGTTCTTGTTTTGATCAATTATAGGCCCATAACACCAGTAGCATTAGACTTGATTGTTGTTTAATTATCATTATCACTAATTGCAGCATTGGTGTCAACATGGTAGGCATGTCCAGTATGTTATTTTCTGCATATGTATTTTGCAAAAGATACGTTACTCCCTGTAAAGAACTCAGTGCTATGGAAGAGATCATCATAATGATGGAAGTACATCTGCAAAGTTTCCCATTTGTCTCTTTGGCCTTTCTGGATGCTTCCATGATAAATGAGGACAGTGATCAAGAGGAGCACAGTGGAAGGTGTTTGTGGAGGAACGGAGTGTATGACTATTGTAGGGAATTGGTGTGAGGAGAGGGATAGAAGTGTAAGTTCCTATACTGCTCAGGGGCTGCTTGCAGTGGTTTTGGGGGACTATGTTTTCTTTTGTTTCTTTTAATATATCTTAAGTTTAAGTTGGTTTATTGATGTGAATACTTGCTTGACTTGGAAAAGTATTATTGGGCCCTTAGTCCTTAAGAGTTAAATCATTAAAGCCTGGAGCCATAGTAGGGCATCCGCCTTACACGTGACTGACCCAGGTTCAATCCCCTGCATCCCCTATGGTTCCCTGAGCACCACCAGATGTGATTCCCGAGTTCCGAGCCAGCAGTGGGCACCCCCTCCCTCAAAAAAAAGGAGAAGTTAAATCATTTATGAGAACCTCTTTTACAGCAGTAACTGCTTTATGTTTGTTGTTTATTATTTTGTATCTAAGACACCAGTAGATACCTTTTTTCCTACCACAGAGAAACAGCTGGAAGGAAGTTAGCTTTACTTTACTCTCTGGAGGAATCTCTGCCTTGACTTTGTCTAATCATTGCTGCTGTGCTGTCCAGTCCTGCTTAATGAGTAAACAATTGGAGAAAACCTGTTTGACTGGCTGATAACTACTTTTAAGTCAGTGATGATTTCAGGGTGTTAGGAAACTGCACATTTACCTTGAAAGCCTATTACAAGGGCTAATCATTTTAGTTTTTAAGTAGAATTCAGCGGGGTGGGAAAGAAGTGTTGGATCAGATCAACCGTGACATGCTTTGTTTCCTTTCAGCATCTACATTGGAAAACGACTGAGCTCACCCTCTGCCAGCACCTACTGAGGGAAAGAAAAGCCCCTGGAAAGGCGTGTGACCTGTGAAGTGGTGTATTGTCACAGTAGTTTATTTGAACTTGAGACCATTGTAAGCATGACCCAACTATCACCCTATTTTTACATATCCAAGTTTCAGTAACTCTCAAATCCAGTATTTTACTCAAACTCTGTTGAGACGTTTTACTAACCTAACTCCCTTTTGGCCTGTAAGACACTTTAGACTTTTCCTAACAGAGTTTACTGTTGTTTAGAAATTTGCAAGGGCTTCTTTTCCGCAAATGCCACCAGCAGATTATAATTTTGTCAACAACGCTGTTTTCTTCTTTTAGTGCCCCCAGATTTAGATCTGTATCATTCATGGTATAAATTTAACTCTTGCTAAATATCTACCATTTTTCTCTTAAATGAGATCAGGTTAGCAAATAACAGAAAAGCTTTTTTTTGTTATGAAGAAAAAAGACATGCTTTTCTAAGCTTGAATTTATAGTGATCACAAAGGAAAACAAAAGGGGGGGAATGACACAAGAAAACATATATCATGGGCAATAAAAAAAAGTAATTTTCAACCAGCTTTGGAACTTCTTTCTGTCTCGCCTCCTGTTGGCGCCTTTCAGCCTATAAGAGGCAGGCTATGTACATGATAGGTATAACATAGAGTAAGGACTTAAAATCAGGGCCGGAACCATAGTACAGCAGGTAGGGCATTTACCTTTCACATAGCCGACCTGAGTTCCATCTCTGGCACTCCACTTGGTCCTCGGAGCTCTCCAGGAGTGATCCGTGAGCACAGAGCCAGGAGTAAACTCTCTGAGCACCACCAAGTATGGCCCAAACAAAAGTAAAAAAAAACAAAACTAAAAACCATCAGCATATTTTAATAATAGTATGTTGTAATGCTGTCTTCTCTATGGTGTGGAATCTTTATTTCTGATAAGGAATGTCTCAGGCCTGGAAATACATGTAATTGCTTTTGGGAATTTTGTATGTGTACGTTTGGTATTTTTATGTTTATTAGCTGCATGTGAATTTTTCTTCTAAGTTTTTTTCTTTTTTTTTTTCTAAGAAGAGGCTTTGGAATGATTCAGTAATCAACATATGCTTCTGGTTTTAGGAAGCATCACTGTACTTTAAAGCCTTTAAACCCTGGAGATAATTTTTTCGTAGTTATTCCATGCACATGGGCAACTTTAAAAAACATGCTTGGGGTTATGGGAAGAGTAGACAAAATTCTGAAGAGATGCCATTTGTTTTCTTCTGACCGCTCACTTTCGGATGTTTATTGTTTTACTGAGGGTGGTCCTGTGATTTTGCAGGCACTTGTCACTGTTTTCTCATGTAGCCATTTTCAGTTATGTAAAACTTTCAACGTTCCAGGATTCAATTTTCTTTAATAATAAACCTTTTTTGTTTCTGAAACGTGAAGCTTTAGGACCAAATCATTAGAATGCATCAGGATTATCGTTTGTTCCAAGTAATGATTTTATTGGGTTTCAGAAAACATAGCATGTTGTTGAAGGATACTGTTGTATGTTTTAATATATATAATTACTGTTTATGATATAAACATTACTATAGAATATTTAGAAAAACCCTTGTTAATTTTAAAACTACCACTATTCATTAAATAGTGCATCAGGTTTACTTGATTGAAAACACTATGACAACCAGTTTTGCCATATTGTAGAAACTAACTCCTTTCTTTTATCAGGTTTTATAAAATCAAGTGTTATAGTAAATAATAACACAGATTAAACAAAAACATTAATTTCCGATTTCTTTCAAAATTTTAACTGGCTATCTTGAAAAAAGATGTTATATTCAAAACTGTTCTCAGTTATTGTACCTTGGTTTTTTTGTTCTAACATCGGTATAAATACTTTTGAGCATCCTATTTCTTGTTTCTGTTTTCTTAAACAAATCAAGTAAACACTTGATTTTCCTTTTGTATTTATTTCAAGTGTTCTTTGAATTTCTCTGGGAAGAAAAATCTGATGACCCACTTATTTCAAAAGACATAAATAAAATTGGAAAGACTGGTAAAGTTTAAGGGCACTAAAGAATTAAACTGCTCCAGTGTATAGTTTGTACTGCAATTGGTATTTTGGCAGTGAAAGTAAAATTAGTCTTAAATTAAGAGAAACTTTTCACGGGGACACATTGGCCTCTTGATTCAGTAGTAATTCTCACTTTAGTGTAACTGAGCTTGGGTATGTTATTTTTTTTCACAATATTGAAAATTTAGTTTTGCCTTTTTTCTTAAAATAGCTGTGAAATTTTGGACCATTACTTTAAAACATGAATACATGATCACAATAGAACTTACAGGATGAAATCACACAGTATTTATTATTGATAGCCCTAACATATAAAATAAATGTTAATGTTCCTATTCAGATTGGTGTTGAATGGCAACAAATTTTGTGATTGGGATGGAGAGTTCAAAAATTAACAGTTGTGGGGCTGGAGCGATAGCACAGAGGGTAGGGCGTTTGCCTTGCATGCGACTAACCCGGGTTCGATTCCCAGCATCCCATATGGTCCCCTGAGCACTGCCAGGAGTAATTCCTGAGTGCAGAGCCAGGAATAACCCCTGAGCATCGCCAGGTGTGACCCAAAAAGAAAAAAAAATTAACAGTTGACATTTTATGATTTATGTTTAAAAAGCTTTATACCTGTTTACAATTTGGGGATGAAAAGGCAGGCTTAATTTTTCTTACGCTTAATGAAAACTGGCTTAAAATATTTGCAAGTAGGACCAATACCAAAACTGCATAAGCTTGCACATTGAAAAGTGCAGCAAATTATTTTGCAGTTAAAAAAATGTACTAGTCTAAAAAATTAAAATTGAAGACTCAGCCAGTTGGATGAACTTTTTAGGTGAATCAGTTGTTGAAATTAACTGAGCCAAAGTGATTATGCATTCTTCATTTATTTAGTTAGCACTTTGTATCATTATATACAGTTTACAATACATGTATAACTTGTAGCTATAAACATTTTGTGCCATTAAAGCTCTCACAAAACTTTTCCTGTCAGTTCATCATTGTATGTTGTGTGTTTCCTCAGAGTTTAGAGGAGATGAGGCCTCATCTGTCTACACAAAATTCTTAATGTTTGAAATTCTCAAATATTAGAGTTCCTGTGCTCAGGAGTTTCCTGCTGCCAGGGAGAACACTACACCAGGCAACTGTTTATTAGAGAAGTCTGTATGACATATAAAAGGGGCCAGTAGAGTCAAAGCATTTCATCAAAATAACAATGCCATCTGAATAATTGCTCACTGAACGGATGATACATGAAAGATGATTGAGAGTTCACCAAATGAAAAAGGAAGGGGCAGAACAATACTCCAGTGGGGAGGGCTCTTGCCTTGCACACAGCTGACCCAGGTTCCATCCTGTCACCCGATAACGGTTCCTCAAGCCCACCAGGAGTGATATCTAAGCACAAAGTCAAGAGTAAGCCCTGAGCACTGGTAGTTGTGCTCCCCCCCCAAAAAAAGATGGGGTGGGGTGGGGGCAGGGATGGAAGGAACTAACAAGTGAAAATGTGTTTCAGAAATAGGAAGTCCAGTGTAGCCAAAACATGAATAGAGGAAACTGAAAATGTACTTTATTATTGAACCTACATCTGTTGAAGATTTCTATGCTTTTCTGAGGTTTGATAGTCAATGGAATACCTTGCAGAGTTTATTTAGAGGAAAATGATGGAAGACTAAAGTTGTGGATGGCATGAAAGAGTGACAAAAATGAATAGCAGAGGCTAGGAGATAGACATGTTGATTCTCAGCATGAAGAGTAAGAACCCATTCTAGCTGCCAACCCTTAAATATATTGAACATAACCAGTGTATAACTTTTGTTATAGAGCTCGTACCCAGGAGAAAGTTCTAGAGTGGAAATGCAGCAGGTCACTCTTAGAAGTGTGTATAATTACAGTTTTGACCATGGGAAAGATGTTAACAAAGTAGCACTGGTGCTAGGGGAGGTAGTAGAGGGGTCTCAGTACATACCTTACATGCATGCACCTGAACTGGCTTTGACTCCCAGCACCACAAGATCACCCAAGTGCCCCTAAACATCACTGTCTGTCACCCAGGAGAACCCCCCCCAGGCACTTTCAGGGCAACCCTGGTAGTCCCTTTCACTGCATCTTCAGCCTTAGCCCTGAACCGCCGGCCTGGATAATGGAGCTATCACTGGGAGTGGCTCCCTGGGCACCTCATGGGGGACCCTTCCAAAACACAGTGAAGTTCCACTTTTCCACACTAAAAGACAGGCTCAGTGGGGCCCGGGAGAGCAAAGGGGCAGGATGCTTGCCTTGCGGGTGGCCGACACAGGTATAATCTCTGGCGTCCCATATCGCCCCCAAAGCACCACAAGTAATTCCTGAGCAATGCCTGGAAGGTGAGTGATAGAACCTGCCAAAGAGGCTGAGAGTCTGGCTCAGCAGCTGAGTTAGTGCGCTTTCCAGGCATACCTGGACTCAGTGTGGGAAAAAGTGAGCATCTTCCCAAAACGGAGCAGGTGATAGTCCTGCCCTAAGAAGCCCTGCCATAGGGCCAGAGAAACAGTATAGCCTGCAGCCGACCCAGGTTTGGTCCCTGGGCACCCTTTATGACCCTTCAAGCACCAGCAGGAGTAGTTCTTGAGTGCAGTGCCAGGAGTAAACCCCTGAGCATCACCAGGCGTGATGCAAAAAAACTGAGGAAAGGAAGAAAATATGGAAACAGGGAGGAGCAATTAGCATAGGCTGGACAGTGAATTTTGAACTCTCAAATTCTTTACTAAAATCAGGACACTTCCTTCTCCATTCCATCTGCCTTCTCCCCTCTGCTCATGAGGCAGGCTTCCAACTATGGGGCAATTCTCTTGGCCCTTGTATCTACTGTCCTTGGGTGTATTGTCTGCCATGGAGGCAGGGTGAGGGTGGGAAAGGGGGGCGTATACTGGGGAGATTGGTGATGGGGAATGTGCACTGGTGGAGGGATGGTTATTTGAGCATTGTCTGATTGTAACCCAAACATGAAAGCTTGTAACTTTGATGGTGATTCAATAAAATTAAAAATATGTACATACATACGTGTGTGTGTGTGTGTGTGTGTGTGTGTTCATTCCTCTAAGTGAACTGTCCACATTCCCTGCCTGCTGCGCCAGTTTAGATTTAGCTGTTGTGAGGGTCACACCGTGTGGGAATCAGGCCACCCCAGGCAGTGCTGGGGCCCACCAGAGTGACAACTCCAGGGCTGTGTGCATGGGGGCAGGAGTTGGGTAGTACGAGGGGTGCTAGGGATCCAGTCGGGCTCACGCAACACACAAGGCATGTGCTCTACCACTTTGAACTTCCTTCCTAGCCCCTGGGCCAACCTTTTTCTTTGGTGGATGTAAAAATTTTCTTTTGCCAATGGGAAAATAATCCTGTATTAAAGCAGTAAACAGGAGTTTATTGTCAACTGATGCAGTGTTTTCAAACGTTTGTTTAGCATTTTTTATTTTCGCCTTTTATGTGTAAGTTGATGTTTTTTTTTTTTATTCAGTTTACAAAGTTGTTAATAAAGAGTTTCAGGCGTTCGTTGTTCCAGCTCCAAACTCACCACTGGCGTCGGCAGCGAACTTTCAAAAAATTATTTACTATGGTTTGGGTCACATGCTTAAAAACGAGTGTTTAAAAATAAGGGATCCTCGTCCACAGTGCATATATAATCTTGTTTCATGCATTCTTTTTTCTTATTTGAGTCACACCTAGCGATGCTCAGGGGCTACTCCTAGCTCTGCACTCAGGAATTACCAAATCAGCCATGTGCAAACACCCTACCCATTATACCATCACTTCAGCCCATGCTTCATGCATTGTTTTAGCTAGAAAATGTTATACATGTTTGTATGTATGTGTGTGTGTGTGTATATATATATATATATATATATATATATATATATATATATTCTGAGGGCTCTTTGGAACATCAACTACCATCATCTTATGGTGGTTGTCTGCTCTTACTAGTAGGTTCTGGTATAGTCAGAGCTTGAGGCACATGGGGGCTAAACATTGATCATAGTTGAATTATTGAGGAAGCCAGAGAGCCACTCCAAGCACTGGCGGAACCTGCCAGGCTCGCGACTCTGCAGTTTTCAGTTCTCTCAGGACCTCACTTGCAGCCTCCAGGCTGCTTCTGTCCCAGGAACTAGCCCTTGAAGCCCCTCTCCAGTACTTTCACCCAAAAACAGGGGTTTGTAGCCTTTTGCTTCTGCTGCCGGTTCTTGAGGCAGAATCTTCCAAGGGTGAGCCTGATGGAAGGGGAGGATGGTCCATACTTCCAGGAGAGCTTGGGAATGTGAGTTCATCGGAGATGTTAGAGATACTCTTTCCCTTTCCTGATCCCTCCACTAGATTCCTCCACTAGATTGATGCTGCCAGTATACAAGGAAGTTCAGGTGCTCAACCATTAAAAGGAAAAACAACTGGTGGGTAAAACCATAAAAATTACATAGCATTTTCTGTCTGGTAGGAAAAAGTAATTTCACAAATTGAGAAGTTGGGTGTTTCCGTAGTGTAGTGGTTATCACGTTCGCCTGACACAAATTGAGAAGTAAATGTTTAGGAAAAGCTCCAGGGAACTCCTAACATAGAAAAATGTGGGTGTGGGACCAGAGCAATAGGACAGCAAGGAGGGCATTTGCCTTGCATGCAGCCAACCCAGGTTTGATCTCTGGCACCCTTTATTGCGCTCCAGGCATCACCAGAAGTAATTCCTCGGTGCAGAGCCAGAAGTAACCTTTGAGCTTCACCAAGAGTAACCCAGAAAGTTTAAAAAACAAAAGATTTGGGCAGAAAAAAATCTAAAATTTTTTTCTAAAAAAAATATAAAAAAAGGAACTGCTGGAGTAAGGAGAAGAAACAGGACATGGAAGGGAAGAATGCTTTTACAGAGCTATGGTGTTATATATTTTTACAGAACTAAACTAGAGGATTTTGCACAATGGAAGGAGGAAGTAACAAGAATAGCCCTTTCTGGAATATGGCAATAAAAGAAAATAAAGATATTGAGGGATGCGGGGGAAGAATAGAGGCTTGAGCGTGGAGTCTTCTCCTAAGGAACTGAACAGATCTGAATCTATGTACTAAAGCCATCATCCATTTTTAGACCTTTCCCAAGCTCGGTCCTTTAGTCGCTCCCCATTCTGGCCTTCCTCCCCACTACCTGGCAGCTACTCTCCTGCATTCTCACTCTGTGAAATTTGATAACTGTCTCAATATACTTACTAGTTCATTTATTCATTTTGGTAATGGAGTCCAGGGCCTCATATAGGCGAGAAAGTGCTGGAACTACAGCCCTTGCCCTTGTCTTAATACATGTTGTGTACTACCTTCAGGTGCATCTCAGGTCAGAATATTCTCTCTTTTTAAGGTCAAATAATACTTGTGTGTTGTTAGTTGATGGAGATGGACTCCTACTATAGCCCTTGAGCATGAGTGGATAACTCTCTGTAAAGGCAGTCTTAAAAAAACAAAATGGGGGTGGAGCTATAGAATAGCGGGGAGGGCGTTTGCCTTGCACACAGCCGACCCGGGGTTCAATCCCCAGCATCCCATATGGTCCCCTGAGCACCGCCAAGAGTAATTCGCCAGGAGTATTCTTGAGTGTGGAACCAGGAGTAACCCCTGAGCATCCTGGTGTGGCCCAAAAAGAAAGAAAATGATGGAGGGCAACATAGTATATAATGTTGAAGACATTAAGCAAGGACTGTGTGGATTGGATAAATGTTAGTTGCAAGATTTTAGTCCATTTACTAAACTTCTCTTCCTGTACCTTAGTTCCCTCACCAGTAAAATTGGGTAATAAAATAACTTAGAAGGTTATTGTAGGGTGCTGGAAAAATAGTACAGCGGTTAGGGTGCTTGCCTCACATTGAACCAGGGTTCCATCCCCAGCACCTCTGAGCCCCACCAGGAGTGACTCCTAAGTGCAGAGCCAACAGTAAGCCTGCAGCACCACTGGGTGAGCTCTCCTCCCCCCCCAAAAAAGG